GCGCCTCTAGGATTCACGGGGGTGCAGCCATAGCCGTGCTTCTTTATGGCTGTTAGCAGGTATGTGGTCAGCACACGGCCCCATCTTCTGTGACCTGAGTGGGGAGCCACAGCCATGGGAGATCTCGGGGGGCAGTCCCCGAGCTCTCCACCCGCTGTAGTGAGCCCTGGAGTGGCCGTGCAGGCCGCCTCTCTCAGAGGTGCGGGGCTTTGGCTGACGTGGCTCAGTCTCTAATAGGGTGACTCTGACTTCCTCTGTGGGGATGGCACTGGTGGGCCTGGTTGCTCTATTTGGGGACCCCTCGAGAGGGGTCAGAGAGCTTCGGAGCCTTGGGAGGGCCCCAGGAATGGGGCGAGAGATGTGGAACTGAGAGTAACATGTGGCCAGCACCACCAAGAAAACAGTGACCCCAAAACATGGATGCAGTTGGACACCCGGGTGCCAGATGGGAATGCGGGGCCAGCGTCTGGCTCTGGCTTTGTGAGGTCCGGAATGTGGGACCCAGCAAGCCCAAGCTGTGTGATGGCATCACTCCAACAGCCATCATGGCAGACTCGAGCTGGCTGACCTTTCTTTTAAAAGACAAAACCCCAGTTACTCTGGGCTTTCCTGCTATAGGGAGCTGATATTACACACCTCCAGTGAGATGAACACCTACTCACCTCACTGGTAGGGAAACTGAGGCATAAAGGAGGGCGTGAGTTTCCCCAAGGTGGACGCCCCAGAGCTGAGTCAGTAGCTGGGCTGGGCTGTGCTGGCCCTGACCCCCGGCCCTCCGCCTCACCTCTTGCTCGGTGGTGTGAGACGTCCCCTCAGCCCGGTAAGTGCTCGGGAGGAGCCGTCAGTGCCTTGCAGAGCAAGCATTGTCCTTGTCCTTAGCTGTCTACACAGCACACATAGCCAGGCCCACCCCATCCCCAAAACGGGAAGAGAGGGCTGGAGGGCTCCCGGAACTCCTGTGGCCTCTGCAGGAGGGGGGAATGTCTCTCTCTCCCAGATGCCCTCCTGAGCCACTTACCCCGTCACACCTGCCACAGTCTCCTCACTCCCGATGGTCCTGAGTCCCCTCATGGCCATGAGAGCCATACATCACTGTCCCGCTTCTAACCCCGTCTGCTCCAGCCACACAGGACTCCTCACTGTGCTTCCCATGCATGCCCACCGCAGGGCCTTTGCATCTACAGAGAACTCAGCAGGAAGTGCTACTCCAGCAGGAAGCTTTTTCTGGGGCTTCTGCAGCCCGCGGCCAGGAGTCCATCCCTGGTCACCCCATGTGAGGAGCACCCCGCCTCCATCATGACACACGTCCTACGTGGTCCCTAATTGCTCAGTGTCAGGGCTGGCTTCTCCACCAAACAAGTGGACCCAGAGCCCAGGGCTGTGGTATTTTTAAGGGCCCACAAAAATATTTTTATGTCTTTTAAAAAGCAGAGGAAATAAATGATTCTGTCTGGCTTATATTCCTCTCAGGCCAACACTGTCATGAAAGAGGGATTTTACTTTTTAGGGTGGAGGGATCCCCGCAGCCTGGGGCGGCTCTGGTTACCATGCACTCACTGGGGTCCCCCAGTGTGAGCTGTGCTTTGTCCCCCACCCACATGGGAAGGTGGAGGAGGGCGCATGGAGATGGAAGCAGTGTCCACGGCCAGCAGGGGCCAGGACAGGCTGGTGTGACCCTTCCTGGGACTTTCTCAGGGAGGCCGTCCAGACTCCCTGACCTGGGCTTCTGGCTCCAGGACTGTGAGCTTGTTGTCGCAGCGCAGGAGCCTCCAACCCTCACCTCTTCCAAAAGTGCTGGACAGAGGAGGAGTCCAGAGCCCCCGGTCAGCTGGCCCCTGCCAGCCCCAGCAAGGGCCAAGGGTGTGGGAGGATGGTGGCGGGGTGCGTGAGGTGGGGGAAGCCCCAAGTTCAAGTGGGATCAAAGATAGAGGCCCCAAGCAGGGAGGCGGCAGTGGGGAGCCAGGTGTGCGGTGTCCAGCGGGTGTGGGTGCAGGGCCGACACATGAGCAGGACAGCGGAGGCTGGAGCCCTGGCCACAACCCCCAGGTCCCCCAGGCGGTCCAGGCCAGTCCAGCCCAGGGCAGCACGGGGAGGAACTCGCACTCTGAAGGCTGATGAGCGTGCCAGCAATCACCAGCTAGGGACCCCTGCGACTCCGTTATGCTTCTCGCCCAGCAGCCTGGACGCCGTGGGGAGACAGTGTGGGAAGCTCCAGGGGGTGGACGGCAAAGAGGGGGAGCCCAGGAGGAAAGAGCTGAACGCCAAGGATGGGTAAGGCCACCGTGCCCACGCACACGCAGGGTCCTCAGGGCACCCGGGAGAGGCCAGCAGGGACAGGGCTGGCCGTCCTTCCTGTAGCGTATGCCTGTGCCAGCCTCGCCTAACCTCTCCGACTCTTACAGGGACCTGGGGATGGACAGCTGTGTGCCTGCCGTGTTAGACATGGCAGCTGGCACTGCCCTTGGTGACCGCTGCCCTCGGCCTCTCTGACCAGCCAGGAGCAGCTGCGTGGGCAGGGGGTCTCGGGGGCCCAGATCTGTCGATTTCACAAGAGAAACCAGATTTGCAGATTTTTTTCCTCCACTCTCATCTTTTGATTTTCAGAAACATGTTGGCCGTGCGCTCACGTCTTAAAACGTGGGTAAACACCAGGCCGGGAGAACCAGGCTCGGCTGCGAGGCCACATCTGGACCTCCGGTTTGTGGCTCTGGTCTTCGGCCTGGAAAAAGAGAACAAAAGCTAAACTGCGCATCGGGACAATGACAGGGGGATTTGGCAATCACAGGGCTGGAACTTGTTAGGAGCGGCCGCAGGGTCTCAGGCAAGCGGGGTGAGCTGGGGCTCGGGCGACATCCACCAGCGGACCACAGCACACACTTCAAAAAGAAAAGAAACTCGGCCTGAGTGCTGCCTGCGACCCCTCAAAGTGCTGCTCCAAGCGCAGGGCCCTGAGCCCGTGCTTCCCAGGCCTGCAGTGGGGGAGCCGGGGAGCTCAGGAACAGGGTTCCACAGCACCCCCAACTCCCGCAGCCGTGTGCTCCGGACAACGCTGGCTCTGGGGTCAGCCCAGCTTTAAAGTTTTGGGTGTAAGCACCCCCACCACCCAGTTCCTCTCTTGTGCCTCTGTTTTATTGGGATGACTAAATCTTTCAGCTATGTGAGCCGTAAACACAGCTAATTTACCCCCTGCCTCTTTGAAACAGCTGCTCACAGCTGCACTGTAATTCAATCAAGGGTCCTTGCAGTGCAGCCTACCAAATTCACATATGCTGCTGGGTTCCATCTCTCCATCTCCCCGCCCGGAGCCCCACACAGCTGCATCAAATACTGACAAGGAGCCTGCACTCCGGCCCCCAGGCCTGGAAGATAAACAGCAAGCGAAGGTCCAGGAGGGCCCAGGAAAGCAACGCACACACGCTCAGGCCCAAGAACCAGAACCAAATGACTCCTTTTATTGCAAACTGAAAACCCGTTTTATTGTGTCTATTCATACAGAATTTTCACCAAGGGCTGCCCTCTGTGACAACCATGGTACATCGGTCCAATTGTCAATAAATAATCTTAAATAAGAAAACACACAGGATGGGGAAGCAAGCTCGTTCCGAACAAGGGATCAAAGGAGGGTTTGCAAAAGAGCTTCGATGGAAATAAATAATTTCTCGGTCTCATCACAGCTATTTACACGTTTTAATGTACAAACGACACCCAGCGGAAGTTGGCCAGGGGCACACACCAGGTAGTGGAAAAGCTAGCACCGAGCAGGAGTCACATAGAAAGCCCAGATCTGCCAAGAACAAATTCTAACCAAAAAAATTCCCATCTTCCAACAGCCAGGCAGTGAGTGCTGCAGCCCAAGCTACTGAAGAAGAAAACAGAAAATAGAACAAAAGCAGAGCCCCAGTGGTTCCAGCACCCACGTGTCGCAGACGGGGGCCGTGTCTGTGGCATCCGGGCTCCCCGGCCCCGGTCTCCCCCAATGACTCACTGCACCCTTTGAGCAGAAGTGGCAGATGCTTGCAGGCAGCCTAGTCCCCGGGTGCAAGCCTTGGGCTTGCGGCTTCAAGCTGGTGCTCACCTGAGGCAGAGGCCAGGGGGGCTGGCACTGAGGGCGACAGCAGAGACCCCAGCCCCAAGTCAGGCCACTGGGTCAGGCCGCTCTCTAGGTCAGTGGTGGTGAACCCACAGCCCACCAGCTGCAGTGGGCATGCCTGGCCTCTCTGTCTGCACGGGTGCCAAGCTTGTGAGCTGATTTTTCCAAACTAAAACCTCGGTATCCAGGCCGAACAGCAGTGCTGGCACTCTGTGATAAACCAGGGGGCCTGGGCTGCAGCCGGCACGCAGCCTCTGAAAGGTTCACCATCCGTGCCTTGGCTGTCTGTCTGCGACCGAGTCCAGCCGTCCTGTGTCTGTCAGCCCTCCCGCCACCCTGGCTCGCTCTGTTAGTTCAAGCAGCAAATCTGTTTGCAGGGCTCTCTACGAGGGGTTGGCAGGTAAAAAGAGACAGTCCTGGTGGGACCCTGCTCACGAGCCTCGTCCAAGAGGAGACACCAAGCACCCTGCTCGGAGGACAGCTGTGCTCACCCTGGGCTGGTGACGGTGACACTGCTGCTGTGCCCTCTGGTTTAACACCAAGCTTGAGCTGCGGGCATCACCTACTGCCTGTCCTTGTCCACCCCCCTACTTCACACTGCTCCCCACCAAGGGGGGGCCGGGGACCCCGTTCCCAATGTCCACCCAAGTCGCTGTTGGGGGAGGGCAGCTGCTGCTCGCCCTGGGCTGCAGTGGACGGAGTCCGCCCTGCTCCAGCATCTCGCCCGCCCTTCCCTCCCTCGGCCTGTGTCTTGCATCTGTGTGATCCGAGTAAACACAGGCCTTGCGGCCTCCTCAAACTGAAACCGGGGTGGAGCGGGGGTGGGGGGACCTCCGGCCACAGCTTCTGTTTACAAAACCAGGATAAACCAAGAAACAGGGCCACAGGAAAATATACCTGTCACATCCTAACCATTTTCATTCATCGGTTTTATTGCAACATTTATTACAAGAAATTCTGCATCAGACTCCCTTCAGCGCAGACACAGGCGCCCACCCTGGCCACGAGCGTCCCCTCCCCTTCTCCTGCAGCCCGGGGCTGGCTGCTGGCTGAAAGGCGCCCTTATCACCTCCAGAAGTCAGGGCCTGGCGGGGACAGTACAGCCCATGACCGCGACCGGGCCACCTCCCCTCACAGAGCTGTTTCCTGCTAGGTTTTGCCCGGAGTAGCTGGTAGGATCTTCTCCTTAGGATGTCACTGATGAGAAATGGATCCAAAGCCACTTGGTGCTCAAATCCCTAATATTCTTAGACCTGTAAAGCCGGGGACGGAGGGGGAGCCTCACGAAAGGTGGCTGGTCCACTGGTCCCTGCCAAGGTGGGCGATGCTGGCGCCAGGCAGTGCCACACCACAGCTCCGCAGCTCTGGGTGAACGTGGCCCCAAAGGGTGGGACTTCCGTGGGGGGCTAGTGGCAGCCGCAGGCCCGGACCACCATGTTTCTGTACTTCTTCAGGATGACATTGGAGCTGTCGTCGAAGTAGAGGACGGAGATGGCATTGAGCTGGGTTGGGGCACAGCAGGGCTTGGGCACTGTGTCCGGGTTGATGAAGTGGACCTAGGGGATGGGGAATGGAGACGGGTGAGATGGGGTGAGGCCCTCCTGCCTGGCCTGTTCTTTGAAGGGACACCCACTACCTGGGTAGGACGACCCTAAGGGACATACTCCGTGCACTCCCCGTCCTAAAACGGGGTTGCTTCCATTTTGCAGATGAGGACAGTGAAGGGCAGGTCTGCTTGCTTCTTGTTGCAGTACTGGGGGTTGAACCTGCACCTTTACACTGAGCCACACCCCAACCCGTTCTAATGTTTTAAGTTTCTGAGACAGGGGCTCCCTAAGTCTTTATGTCGCCCAGCTGGGTTTGAACTTGACGCCCTCCTGCCTCAGCCTCCCAGAGTGCTAGGATTACAGGTGCGCACCACAACACCCGTGCAAGCATGGCTAGTTTTCGATGCGTAAGGGATGAGATCTGCCACTGTGTGCCCACATCCTCGGCTGTGGAGCTGCCCTGCATGGAGCAGGATGGAGGCGCTGGGTCTTTCTCAGTCCGGGTCAGGGGCACAAAACTCAGATGCCACCTGAGTGCCTTTGACAGGTGACGCAGGCCAAGAGTAAACACGGGATGAGGGGGACTGAGGCGAGCCGAAGGCAGAGGCCACCACTCGGCCCAAGGTGACCACAGCCTGGCGGACACAACCCACGTCTGCAGATGAGCAGAGGCTCGTGATGGACCATGCAGCTGGCTCAGGTTTGCTCCTGAAGGGAAACTTGGGAGTTTCCAGCGCTCCAGCTCTGCTGACCAGACCCACGGCAGCCCACGGAGGCCCCGAACTCCAGAAGGGGCACTGGCCTGACAAACTCCGATGCCCTGTCCCGGAAGGCAGACAGTGGAGGAGGCCGGGGGCTGCAGTGACAGACCCTGACACTGAGGACGCGCGTCCTGGCAGGGCTCAGCTGCTTCTCAGCAAGCTGCAGCGACTGGAGTCAGGAGCCACCGAAGGGTTCATTTTTATTAGTCGGGTGCAGGAATGCACACCTGCAATCCCAGCAGCACTCTGGGAGGCTGAGGCAGGAGGACGGCAAGTTTGAGCCAAACCTGAGCAATCTAGTAAGCACCTGTCTCAAAATTTAAAAAATAAAAATAAAATATATATACACACACAGACACAAGACTTGGAGATATAGTTCAGGGTCAAGGCTTTGGGATCAACACCAGTGCCAAAAATAAATCACAAGGAAAAAAAAAAAGAAAACAAAGAAATTCTAAGTCAAAGGTGATATTCACCTTTACACCAAGGCAATAATAAAATGTAATTTTTGATGCCCTCTCACGGAACGAGGGGCCCAAGAAAGGCACGGGGTCCCCTGAGCAGATGCTTTCTCAGGCCCCCGCTTGGAGGCAGGATCTGTGGCCCTGCAGCCTGCACCCCTGGGACCACGCCCGGGGCAGCACCCACCAGCGTCTGCACGATGGCATGGTTGGTGGCGTTCATGTAGGAGTTCAGAGGGAACGCGCACTCTCCCTCACAGTAGTAGGCAGCGTAGCCTTCGGGCGCGATGATCCAGTCCTAGGGAGAGAGGGCAGAGTGGGGGTGACCCGGCCAGGCCCAGAGCCCTGGGCAGTGAGGCAGGACTGGGCCCCCGTGGACACCATCCTCCTGCATGACCACGTCCTCGGGCAGAGGCTCAGGTGGCCACAGAGTCACGCAGAAACTGAGTGAGAACGCGGGCAGGGCAGGGCAGGGGCAGGGCAGCAACCAGCATGGGCATGTCCGGCTGTATCTGCTGGGCAGAAGGTGCACAGCTAGGAGGCTGCTGATGTCGAGGACACAGGCTGACACCACCCCGCTCCTGCTGGTGGTGACACACTTCAGGTTGCTGAACCCCAAGCCTCTGTGTCTGGGGGCTCCCACCTATCAGAGTCTAATGGCCCTCCATGGCCCGGCGGGACTGCTGAAAGGCAGTGTTCCCCACACGCTGCTGCTGGAGGAATGGTCCATGCCACACTGGCCCAAGGGGTCTGGCTGGCCCGGAAATTCCATCCAGGCAACGGCAGCCTGGAGGGACTCTTCAGTGCTGGGGATTGTCCAGTGTGTGGGGCTGGGGCTCTGCCCACAGGGGAACATGGCGAGGTGAGCACTGCACTCCTTGGAGCATGGAGCCATAGCTGGTCCTGGGGATGGACTCACAGGAGGGGATCAAGCTGGCTGGGTGAACGGTCCCCATGGAAGATCCTGGACTCCTGCACGGAACTGGCAGCTCCCAAGGATCTTATGATGCACCCTGTGCAGGACTGCTGAGCTCCACGGGGACGCCCCATGTGTGCTGGACCCAGCACACACCTGGGAGCCCGAAGGGTCCTGGGGTGTCTCTACCTGCTCCATCCAAATGGCTTGCTTGGGTTCTCCTCCCATGGTCCCACTCCTAAACCGAGGACTGGCTCGGGAAGCAGTGCTTCTTCCCCTGAGCTGGGCCTCCAGCTCTCTCCCCAGGGAACCTGACTCGGGGAAGGGGTGGGGGCAGACTGGGGACAGGGGAGCTGCTGTTGGGGCTCCCACATGTGGCCTAGCCCAGGTATCACAGAAGAGTGGGCTGCAGTCCAAGACGTGCACCTCCTCATGGTGGCTAGTGCCCCATCACGTCTCTGCCCGACACTAAGAGGCCTCTACCGGGCACCCACCTCGGGCCCAGCCAGCCCTCACCTGCCAGCCCAGGTCTCGGAAGCTGACGTACAGCTCATGCTTCTTGCAGGCCTGTCGCTGGTCGCTGCTGCTGTTTTCTGGCGTGAGAAGTAACAGAGAGAGATACATGCGTGTTCAAGCTGGGCAGGCGCTCACCAGCCAGGAGACCCGAAGCGGAGGGAGGATCGCCCGGTGCAAAGCCCTAAAGCTCACCCCCGGCAGGGCAGGTGCTACGCCCCGTCCCTCTCCCACGCTGCCCTGGCACAGGGCACTTTCAGGCTACTCCGTGGGCGTCCGTTTCCCTTATGCACATGTGTTGTTTAAACACCGAGGGAATCAGACCCCACCCACACCCCACAGCCGGCTGTGAGGGTCCTGCTCGGGGGATCGGCTTCCGGACCACCCCGCCAGCCCACCCGAGATGCTCTGAGGAGCAGGAGGTACAGACTGGGCACCCAGCCGCCCCAGCACCGCTGGGAAGAGACCAGGGTGGAGAGGCGAGGCGCACTGATCCCACAGGAAAACACTGCTGAGGTTTGGAGAACAGCAGTTAGGCACTGGGTTTTCCAGAAGTAGGTAAGTGTGGGGCCAGGCCTGGCTCTTGTAAACACTGCGAAAAGTTCTCTGTGTCCCAGCCCCACTGCACACATACACTGACACGACATGGAAGACCCTGCCCCCTGCAGCACTGGCTTCTCTCTCTTTCTTCTTTCAGCTTGCAATAATTTCAGTTTACTAATCATTGAGTGTGATTTTATGAATCATGAATCAGGCCCTTTCTGACTGTGCCCTCAGGCTCGGCCGCCTCCTCACCATCAGTCTCCCCGCAGGGCCTTTGCACATGCCATCTCCCAAGCCCGGGTGCTCCGACCCCACTTTCCACAAGTCTGGTTCTCATCTTGACTTCTGTGTCCTGTCCTCAGTGGTCTTCTGACGTCAACACTGAGTCCCCAAAGCCTCCTGCCCCTCAGTGTTAGTGGAACCAACACACATGCACACGTAAAGGAGGCATCGGTGACCACCTGCATGAACCAATGCCGGGCCCACCCACTGAGGTCTACATGGAGGTTTCTGCTACCCACAGCCAGCCAGCACAGCAGGGAGTGGCAGTCAGTTCAAGCCCAGGGGAGACCCTGGAGGTGTGGGGTCCGGGGCACAGCAGACGGCTAGGTGAGGGCCAACGGCAGCCCCAGCAAAGGTGACTGATGAGCGTCCTCCCTGGCCGTCTGTCCAGGGAATTTAAGTCACCATATGCTTCCGTCACAGGCACACCTTTAACCATGAAGCTTCCTGACTGTGTCCTCCAGACCACTGACCACCAGTGTCCAGCTGAGTGCAATGTTCCCCCAACCCGGCTTTCTCGACTCAGGGGTCTGGCTTGCAAGCCTACTAGGTTAGTGAGAAACAGCACCAGACCAGGCTGCTGCTGGCCACTGAGGTCACGGCAAAGGCACCCTCCCGAAGACCCTGAGGGGCTGGGCTCTGCTCCTGGAGGACACGGGCACAGCACTGTTTACTGTGGCAACGTGAGCTGGCACTGTCGCTGCCCAAGCCACTTCTCTCTCTCCCCTATGAGGGGGCAGAAGGGATTGGGGGAGCACTGTTGCAGCCAGGGGCTCTGAGTAAAGACTCTGAGAGCAGAGCACAGTAGCTCAGGCCAGGGACACTGCTGGCTGCCTGGACAGATGAGAGCTCACTGGGGAGGCAGCAACTCTGCGGCAGATTAGCAATGTCTGCTGGGGGCAAGGGAGAGGTGAGCAGTGGTCTGAGTGCTGTCTTCAAGTGAAACTGTGACATCCAGCGTCATGTTCAAACCCAAGGCCTCACAGGACTGAGGGCAGCTGACAAGGCCATGCATTGACCTGCTATACAGGTGGGCACTGGCCCTGCCATCATGGACCCCAGCTGTCCCAGAGAAAGTAGTTTGGACACCTACGTATCACTAGGACCTCTTTTTCTCAGCAGAACAGCAAAGACACGGGACAGACAAGACGCCCAGCTCTCTGCCCCCTCCTCTCATACACACCACAGGGCAGTGCACGAGTGTGCAGGAGGCGGTGCCAGCCACCTCCCGGGCCCAAGGGAGCAGCTGCCAAGTCGCAGCCAGTGCTCAACTCAGCTGCCACCCTCCACCAGGGCCTTGGGATGCCCCACAACCCCTCCCCACCCCCACCCCCCATCTGAAGAGCCGCTGGTGCCCAGAGGGGCAGAGGGTGCCATGGCAGAGGGCTCCGCAGGCAGCAGGCTGCAGCATGCGTCCCCACCCAACGCACAAAGGGCTGTGAGCGAGAGAGGCTTCCTCGTGTGGGGCGCGTCCCATGCGGCACTTCAAACAGCGCAGCACACACACCCGAGCCGCATGCATGGGCACGGGCACGGGCACAGGCCTGCTCCGCCCAGGGTGGAGCCATGCCTTAGTCTGGTTTTTCTTTTCTTTTCTTTTTTAAATTTTCTGGCAGGGTTTGGAAAAATACAAAACAAAGCGAGGAAACAGAAATCCACAGGAAGGAGAAAGATGTCACGCAAGGTGCACTGTCACTCAGGGACTCAGGGTCCTGTCCCGGGGACTAATCAAGTGGACACTTGGACAGGGCTGCAGGAAGACACTGCAGGGCAATCAGGTGTGGGATTCTAGAACCCAGCACCCTGGGCCTCTGCTCCTGCAGGTCCCACGGCTGCAGCAGGGAAAGTTCCCCTGCTCATTCCCGCCCACTGGGCCTGTCCCTACACACAGATGAGGGTGACAGCCACCTCCTGGCATCCAGAATTAGCACTGCTGGGAATCCCATACCTGGCTCTCACTACTGGACAGGGTCTCAAGAGTCAGTATGGGGACGTCCCCAACTACCAAGAAGGGGTTCACATGGTTCTTGAGTTTTTGAGAACCCTAAAAGGCTCCACCTGCCACACACTGGAGCCATACAGACTACTGATCTCTACCTGGGGTCCCCCTCGCACACCCCACTGCCCCCCAGAGCCTTGCTCTCAACAAGGTCACCCCCCCAACCAGCTCCTTCAGAAAGGAATTTAACCTTCAAGGCAGCCGGTGGCACAGCCAGGTGGCGCGGGGTGGGGCCGTAGTAGGGATTTCCAGATCTTCCTGTGTTCCTGTGGGTGCAGCCAGCCAGGGCTGGTTTGCACCTAAGACTGCTTCTGGCTTCAGGACCACAGAGCCGCAAGGGGACCGGCCCTGCCTGCCGGACAGTGGACATGTGCGCCTGGCTTGTCCGTCGGTGAGAAAGTCATTTGCCGCTGCTGCTGATCGACCCCCAGAGTGGCACCCGAGTATTTGCATTTATTCCTCCCAGCTCTGGCACTGAGAGCCCACCATGGGTCCCCCTGGTAGGGCCGAGGACCACCTCTACCTGGAGCTCGGGGGACAGGGCTTCTACCCGGTTCAGCCCCACTCCAAAGCCAGCCAAGCAGCATCTGTGTCCCTGGTCCTCACAGCTCAGCACCTCCTGGTTCTTGGGCCTCTAATGACACACGGGACGGCAGTTCCTGTGTCCACCTGGCCACCCAGGATAAGCTGCCCCGAGTTGAGGTCAGCTGATGCACTCCACATTTCAGAGTCTTAAGTTCCCTGTGCCATGGATGTCACCATTGGGGTCCAGATGGAAACCAGGAGCTCTCTGGGCGCCCACAGGCCGCAGACCACTTGGCTAGGAAACCTGAGGGGGGCTTCTCTTGCTGCAGGCTGCACCCCTGGATCTGGCCGTTCTCTCTGCAATCGCCTAGAAACTGCTGTGCAGGCGACATCACTGACTTGAACCTTTCCCTTTAGTCTGGGGGTAAATCAAGACACATCTCCTGCTAACAGCGGCAGCCCTTCCCATGCTGGGAGTGGGTGGCCGGAGGGTCCAGCACTGGCCACAGTGCTCACAGACTGCTCTGGAATTCCACCCCTGAAATGCACCCCTGGGACTCCAGCAACACATGGTGTCATTCAAGACCCTGATAGCCTGTGGGGAAAGAGACCATGTTCCAGCCACAGCAGGACACTCAGACCAAGGCCAGCCCCATCCTGGCCACTTATCAGAAACACAGCAGACCTTGGGGCCCCAGAGCGCATGGAAGCCAGGCAGGTGCCTGCAGACCACACCAGAAGGCAAGTGAGTCCAGCGTAAAGGAACCTGCAGCCTCCAGGGCTCACATCCCGGAGGCCTGCAGCTCCCTGTGTACCCCCAAACATGTTACCTAAGCCCCCGAGCCCCTGCTTGCCCCTCTGTAAGAAGGGGAGCCACCTCTCTTGGAGTCTCACACTCAAAGCTCAGTCCCCTCTCCCCACGGTGCGGACCCGAAGGCTGCCCTTGGAAGTGTCCTTGGGGGTGACCGTCTTATCTTCAACGCTTTTGTTCATCTTAGAACTGTTGGCGATGAAAACATTGTCTTGATTTATCATTTTTCCCCTGGTAGTAATGGAACTCTTCAAAGAAACTGAGAAGAATCTCCAGTAACACACACATACCCTTCCGTGTACTTAAATGGTCATGAGTTTCAAATATTTTCCAATATTTAGGAAATACATGACGGATACAGAAAACTCTTCTCCCTTCCTCCTTCTCTGCTCTTGTAAGTGTAAACATAAACGCAGCCACAGTTTTGTCTCAAAATGTACACAATTGGCATTATTTTTTTGGATCCAGGATCAAACTCACGACCTCGCGCTTGCCAGGCAGCAGCCTGTGCTGTGAGCTAAGTCCCCAGCCTCCCTCACCACTGGCACCTTGTTATGCTAATGTTTTGCTCCTTGCTTTGAAGATTATATTGCAGATTTAAGATTCAAGGTCTGCTCGGGATTTAGCTCAGAGGTAAAAACCCCTGCCTGCAAGCGCAAGGCCCTGAGGTCAAACCCCAGTACCAAAAAAGATGCAAAGGTCGAGTGGGAAGGGTTGGGGTTGATTCCCCGTCTGTTCCAGCTCCCCTGTGGAGCACCCACAGGCCCCAGGGGCTCCCCGTGCCGCCCGCCCTGGCCCTACCTGCCACGCTGGCCATCCTCAGCGCCTCCTGGTTCTTGGGCGTCTTGGAACGGTTCTGGCTGCGCTGCTTGCCTGCCGTGGAGCGCACGCTGCGGAAGTGCACCTCCGTGGCCTTGAAGAAGGCCACCATGAAGGGCTGCTTGTTCTGGGGCCCGTGGCGCCCGATCAGGCCTGCCAGCTTGGGGTTGACGCTCTGCCCTGGACGGGAAGCAGCAGAGGTGGGGAAAGTGGGTGCGGGAAGGGGCGGCAGCGGATGCACTGCTCCAGGAGCCCCGACCCACCGACCCACCAACCCACGCAGCAAGCACTCAGCCTGGGCCGGGAACCCTTTCAGGCACCTGGAACACAGCTGGCATCAAAAGGGAGAAAACGCCCAGGCCCAAGCTTCCCTGTCGGTGGGGAAGGCAGGCAGCAGACACACCTTGTAGGTACCCAGTGGCAGGGAGAAAAATGAGGCAGGGAGAGGGGGCGCACTGCAGGGGTGCTGAGGCTTCTCAGGGCCCCAGCTAGAAGCACGCATTTCATTGGTCTGAGCGGTCACGGGGAGTGGCAGTGTTCCTACTCTGTGTCCTGAGGAGCAGAAACAATTGCCAAGAGCCACCTAGTGCAAGGCAGGGGCCACCTGAGAGAGGACCTGGGGACAGTGAGGAGGCCCTCGAGGGTGTCTGAGCAGAGGCGGGTGCGCACGGGGAAGCTGAGTTCAGAGCAGCGAGGAGCCGCGGGGCGGAGGCCGCAGGGAGGAAGGGGTGCTGGGGAGGGAGCGGAGGGGGGCTCAAGACCCCTTGGGGCCCTGTTCATCCACACCCACCCGGAGCCTCAGGGTGGAAAGAAGTTCTCTGCAGATGTGATTTGTTACACAAAGGCCCTATCAGATGGGTCCTCCTAAGACTCCCGGGGAAGACACAGGCACAGGGGTGCGCGCAGAAGTCCGAGGCCAAAACGCCAAGGATGCCAGCAGCCACCTCCAGCCAGAGGACACACGCAAGGGCCCGCCCACACCTCCAGCTGGGACTTGGAGCCCCAGACTGTGGTCACCCCACTGGTGTAACCCTGTGAGGGCCAGGACCCAGTTAAAGGCCTCCTCAGTCTGTCCCTGGAGATGGACTGCAGGGTCCAGGGCAGAAGCAGAGAGACCAGGAGGAGGCCAACAGTGCAGACCAGGAGGTGGCAGGATACCAGCCGGGGGCAGCAGTCAGTGGCAGGGGAAGAAAGGCTCAGATCCTGGAAAACCCACTTTGGAGTTTATTTTGGTTTCCATGTTAGTTCGGTAGCTTCATAGAAGGCAGAAGAAACGTACAGGGAGGTTCCAGTGCCCTTCGGCGTGTCCTGCCCCACGTGGCTAGTGACATCTGTCACAACCAGAATGTGACATCCAAGCCAGGAGAACGGCAGGTTTTCCATTTGTTTTCAAAAAAACCGAACTTGCTGAGGTTGGATGTGCCTGGCGTGAGCCCCGGAAGAAGGGAGGGGGACAGGCAGGCAGTGGGAAGTCCCTGTGTCGGGACCCAGCAGCAGGGGCCAGTGTGGTTCCGGGTGGAGAGGAACAGGGCCCACGCCAGGCCCCTGCAGCCAGGGCGGAGCTTGTTAAATGCCAGTGAGGGCAGCAGCAGGCCAGGGGTGCGCTTGGAGTCCCCAGCTAGAGCAGACCTGAAAGCTGGGAGACCGGATGGGCTCGCATGACGGGAGCCTGAGGCCAGGCGTGGCATAGAGGGCACTGGAGGCCCAACACGAGCAGTCCGGAAGAAGCTTGGACAGCACCAGGAGCATGTGGGGGTCTGGACACCGAGGGGACAAAGTGGGACCTTTTGGGGTACAGACTGGATGGCATGTCTGGAGATGGTGAATGGGTGGTGGAGAGGGCATCACATAGAGACCAAGTCCATCTGCCCTCCGCTGCACAAGCTCAGAGAGGCCCAGTAACCCACCCGAGGACAGGCGCTCACTCAGATGGGGCCGACCGAGTCAGGACACCCCTGACTCAGGTAGGCTGGTCAAGGCTGGTGACACCCAGCACTTGGGAGGGCCCTGAGGTCCACAGCTGAATCAACTTCACTTGGAGGCCTCTGAGGCAGCCAGGGGTCACAAGGCTCAGCCTCCTGTGACCTGCATGGTGCCAAGGGCTTGGCTTTGGTTCTCAACAGTGAATACTTAAAAGAACAAAGGTCCCCAGACCCCCAGGTTCCACCTTCCCCGCTCGGTTAATGTGAGGCTTTCCTGCATTCTTGAGCGGGGTTTCCGTGAGTTCATGCATCTAAAACGCCAACGATTCTATAAAAGGAACCATTAAAGCTGAGCCCCTAGGAACAGTGCTTCCCCCGGAGGGTTTTTAGGGCAAAATAAAAATGCCTGACCTACAAATCTGATGCTACCCCAGACCCTTCCGAGCCCAGACCCCCGAGCAGTCTCTCTGCATTAAAGGACTGGCCACCAGGTCAGTGAGGCCAGGACGGGGGACACAGCAGAGACCTGCCTCTGCCACTGAGCCACCAGTGTGGGCCAAGAGAGGCCAAGCTGCAAGCTGGAGCCTCGACTCCCTCAACTATAAAATGGGGGGGGTGGGGACACCATGAGCTCACCCATCCCTCCTCCCTGGTAAGCAACCCTGTTTGCATCTAAGCAGCTACACCTTCACCTGGCCGGCTTCACCCTGGCCTTAGGGATGGGGCCTGTGGTTTAATAAGAGACAATTAATCCGCAGGTATCAGGGTTGCGTCCACGACCCAGTTCAGTCAGGGCGTGCAAGAGAGGGATCTTGGCAATTTCTAGAAATCAACGCCCTACTCTAACACTCAAAAGTATCTCTCTCAACAGGACTGAGGGAGGAGAGATGGATGGAGCCCCAGAACTGACCACCGTCTAGTACCCACAGGGAGAACCCTACCCTACTCTGAGGTGCTAGAGACTGACCAGGGCCTCAGGGGTGCTGTGCAGGTGCTCCCCCTCTGCACCCACCCAGGGCACCCACGTTTTCCAACAAGGCTAGTTTCCATAGAAGAACAGCAGAAAGACAAATTCTAAGTCACGGGATCAAACCAATCCTGCCCGTCACGTCCTCACCCAGCCACCAAGAATGATTCCCTTGACCGTTCAGTCCCAGCTGGTGCTCTGGGTTGTTCTCGCCACTTTGGCAGAGGCTGAAGATGGGGGACACAGGTGCCAGTTGAGTTGAGCCTGGTACAGAGCAAGCCCTGAGAGGACAGTGACAGGTTCTCCCTCTTCTGTCATTAAGTTAGGGGAAGGTTCAGGTTTTCAAAGACAGCACGATGGACATTTATTCACACTCTACAGCAACCAAACACAGGGACACTGAAAATTGGCAGGCAGTTCCTCCCAACAGCTGAGTGCCTATTCACAATGAGACCTGATTGTCCCACCCCTCAGGACACACCCAGGGGAATCCTGTATTCGGGTGTCCATAACATCAACTCCATAGCCAGAGTGGGATCATGGCATGCCTGCAGACTACAGAGGAAGACACCCAAAAGCTGCAGAGGGGGAGCGTCAGGAGTTCTGGGCTGGGTGATGTGGTGGAAGTGGCCACCTACGCACTGTCGGGTGTGGAGCAGCAGCCTGGGCTTCTCCCCACGAAGACGAGTAGCATTCCCTGGGTGACAACCGCAATGGTCCCCAGGCATTGCCACAGGTCCCTTAGGAGGCAGCGACGCTGTTTCAGAGATGTTGCTGGCTCCCCTTTCCATCTGGACTGTCCCAGACATTTAACATATATAATTAAGGTCAGCTAACTGCACGTGCTGACGAAAGCAGACACATTGCCACATCTTCACCTACAGTATGTACGCGGGTCAAATTTATTTTAATACCAGAAGAAAGGGCCAAGAAAGGTAGAGGAGAATCCTTTCTCCTTTCGTGAGCAGTGTGACAGTGTATTAGCTTCATTAGTGTGTATAATTATTACATTTAAATGTCCAGCAAGATTAATGTAGGCGAGTTAAAGAATCCAGACAGGGGAACAATATATACGTAATAGTTTATAAAATCTATCTTTGGGGAGGTTTAGAAAGATGTACATTTTAGCTGAGGGTTACTACTTCTTTTGAAAAGCTTGTGGGTTTGCTCAAAAAGTCATATTTTGCAAATTTAAAAAATGCCCTATTGACCTTGACTCTTAGATAAATAACACTTGCAATATGGGAACACCCTTAACACTTGCAATATGGGAACACCCTTAACTGAGTGGCTCCGTGTGGCCACTCAAGTTTAACGCAGCATCCTGTTTTACCTGCCAAAGAAAGCTTCTTGCGCGTGACCACGGAGCACTCAGGGGGCGGCAGCAGCAGCAGCAGCATCCGGTTGGCCTGATGGCCAGTGCAGAGGCAACAGCTTCTTTCACGGCACCCACGGCTTCCCTTCCTCCGGGACCTTTGGATTTTGTTGTGTTGCTTTTTAAAGTCTTCATTTTCAAGGGAAGAGCACAGTACAATCCATCTCTGTTTTCGGGGACTGCAGCTCTCTAAGTGCTAACACGTGTGTGCATCTGGCCGGGCAGGGCTTCTTCCCCTAGGCTGCCTTTCATCTCCTTGGCTCTCAGTGGGGGCGTGGCCCCGCCCAGGAGACATGTGGCAATGTCCGAGACATGTGTGCCCAAGGCACACATGGCGCTGGCACTGATGGCGCTGGCACTGAGGCAGAGGCTGGACGGCCGCTAAGGTGGGCCCCACACTGGGTCACACACATCGTGACCAACTGCAGCTCCCGGCCACCGCCTCCTGCACTTGCTGGCGAGCCCGTGGCTTTGCCCTCCTCCGTGTTTCTTTTACACATGGCTTCCTCCAGCCGGGCTGAGGACAACCGGGTGGATCCGTGTAGCCGTGTTCCCAGTGTGCATCCTCCCGGCTGGGCGTGCTACGCCACGGCATGCGTGCGTCCGGGGTCTGCTTCTCGCTTCCCTAGGGTGGTGGGGAACACCATCCAGGGTGCTGGGGAGAGCCGCCTTCTCGTTTTCCAGACGGGAGGTTAGGCCGTCCTCATCACCTGCTGCCCTCGGCCCTCTGCTGCAGGTGATCGAAATCGCCACACCTGCTGTCTCCCGGACTCGCCTTGATGACCCGGCTGACCTGAGATGGCCCGGTCCCAGGAGAGCCAAGGGAGGCAGAAGTGGCTGCAGCCCCCCACCACCCCAGCCCCTGACCTCCCTCGAAGCTTCCGGACAAGGTTGCTGCAGGCTTCTCCGAAGGGTC